TGCCTTCTAAATCATTGTGTACCAGAACATTAAGTGACTATAGGTATTGGATATTAGTGATGGTAAACTTTGTGTTGTTCTTTATTAAATGATACATATAACTGTTGGGTGCATCCGTGCTTTTTAAAGGGGACTGCATAATATAGGGTTAACTATGTATATTCATGTTAAGAATTAACTTGTGGTTTGGCTGTTTTCCTGGATTTTAAAGCATATACATGTGCAGAACTGTATTGCAATGAAAGGAAGCATAACTTTATCAATATGCTATTAAAATTGAACATCAAGTATATTTCATTTGGATTCTTTCAGTTGTGGTTGTTAATGCCTACATATGCCTATTTGGACCTTGACTATTTTTTCAGTGGGAGCAGCTCTCCCCCGTGTAACGGTTGTTCCGGACTAGCTTGGTGATGTGCTTTCTGTTGCATGGCAGACTTCGATGTTTCCTCCGGCAGTGCAGGTGCCATTAGAGTCCAGTGTTCTATAGAAGCGGTGTCTAAAGCCTAATTTGACTCTTCTAATTCTGGTGACTACTACCAAGAATGTTTGAGAGTTTTGTTTAAGTGGTCTAATATTTTTTATGTAAAGAGCATTAAATTTTGCTATGTATAAATTTTTGTAACCTAACAGTGAATCAATATTTTCTATCAGTGCCAAGGGCTTCCTGTAGTTCTATTCCAGTGTTATAATAAATATTTGTAGATAATAGTCAATACTTGTGTATGCTTATTTTAAAGATCTATTTAGGTGGAAATAGTTGTGGATGTACTAAGAGAAATGAAATAAAATTATAGCTTCATTCAGTTGCCTTTTGACATACCTAAGTATTCTCTTTCTCCGTCTTCAGTATGGTGTCATTTTTAAATAGTATGCATGATCAAGATTTTACATACGTATGAAATCCAGCTTATAAGAGAGTGCTATGTTTCATTTCTGACAAATCTCTTTTAAGGGGGGATCAATTTGAGAAAATGACCTCATCCACTAGGGTATATTTTACATAAAGTACCATTAACATTTTACAGTTCATTGTGAGAAATACAGACATTTTCTGACTGGCTTCAATAAATGAAAGCAATATACCTATAGGATGAATACAATACTTAAGTTAGGGGCAAGTATAAGAACCATCTGCATAAGATTCCATATGTCATTGGCTATTTTACAAACCTGGAATATAAAAATCTACTGAAAGATTTATTGGGGAATATTTCAAAAGATCTAGTGTTTTTTCTTTTTTTGTTAATCCTCACCTGAGGATATTTTTTCCTTTAATTTTTACAAAGAACGGGAGGGAGGGAGAAGGAGAAACATTGATGTGAAACAGGTACATCGGTTGCCCGGACTGGGGCCAGGGATCGAGCATGCAACCCAGGTATGTGCCCTTGGCCATGAATGGAACCAGTGAACCTTCAGTCCGAGGGCAATGCTCTAACCACAGAGAATCACCAGCCAGGGCTAGAGCTAACAGTATTTTCTAAAGCAGCAGAGCTAAAACTGTTACTTGCCACAAATGTGAAAACCTTTAGCAGATGGAGCGGAGATGTTTCCATTTCTCTAGCAATAGCTTGTGAAATAACTTTTAAGAAGTCAAAATTTTAGGGGAGGGGCCCACTCATTTAAAAACCCAACAAGTGCCTTCCCAGAGGGCTCAATGGTTAGTGTGTCAGCCTGTGCATCAGAGGGTCGCAGGTTTGATTCCTGGTTAAGGGTATGTACCTGGGTTGTAGGTTCAATCCCCAGTCCTGATCAGGGTGTGTTCAGGAGGCAACCAATCCATGTATCTCTCTCACATCAATGTTTTCTTTTTCTTTCTCCCCCTCCACTCTTCTCACTCTCTTCTAAAACAAAAGCAATGGAAAAAATATTTTTGGATGTGGATTAAAAAAAAAAAAAAAAAGAATCATGAAAAAGAAAAGTCAGCAAGCAAAAATACTTTGTCTACTAAAAAATGAGGATGAAAAATCCCACAATAAAAATTTTGGGGAAAAAACCCTCCTTTTAGGACTTAATGCTATGCTAGCCACAATATTAGAAAATTTAAGAGACAATCCACTTGGCTATATCTTTTCCTAAACAATGGCATCTTTCTCTAGCTAGCGCAAGGCTAATTTGTTCCCAGATGCTTGTAAAAAGATATTTTTACAAACAGGCTAATTTGTTCCCAGATACAAATTAAAGATATAACTTTTCAAAATAAATATTTAGAATAAATAAAACTACAGAAAGTTTTGAGGAAATAAAAATGCAAATGAGCCGAAACTGGTTTGGCTCAATGGATAGAGCGTTAGCTTGGGGACTGAAGGGACCCGGGTTCGATTCCGGTCAAGGGCATGTACCTTGGTTGCGGGCACATCCCCAGTAGGAGGTGTGCAAGAGGCAGCTGATCAATGACTGTCTCATCGATGTTTCTAGCTCTCTCTCCCCCTTCCTCTCTATACAAAACCAATAAAAAAAAAATATTTTTTAAAAAATGCAAATGAAAGTCAGGTTTGACAAAGAACTTTCTTTTTCTAAACTGCCCCACTAATCTTCCTCACTGTTTTGATATTTAAACTATTGCGCCCTGATTGATAAGGCTGTTGACTGGAGCATCGTCCCATACACGAAAAGATCTCAGGTACGATCCCCTGGACAGGATTCATGCAGGAGGCAGTTGACTGGTTTCACTCTCACATGGATGTTAAATATGTATGAAATATATATGTATATATAATAAACATCATTGTACCCACCTGGGGAAGATTTAAACAGAGACTCAGGGTCCTGGGGAGGCAGAAGCAGTGGAGGCGGCAGCAGGGGCAGTTGCAGGGGGTCTTGCATCTTGAAATCTACTTTATATTCTTAGGCTTTCTAGGTAATGTGCCATCTGAAATGCTACATGAGAAATGACTTACTTTTCTTTAAATTAAATCTGCCTTGAGATAGAGTATTAAAAATGCTTAGAATTTAAATTGACTGAAAAAATGAAGGTATCAACCCCCAAGCTAGAAAGCAAAGTATACAATGAGCTATTTAAATAAGGGCTTTGAAAACATAAGACAGGGAGAAAACTGAATAATATAAAGTATTAAGAAGTTGTCTGGAGGTTCTGGTCCAATATGGTGACAAGCACATTCCTGAAATGCACTCTCCCATGGATACACAGAATGTACCACTATACACATAAGTTTTTTTTTTCTCAAAGAAATCCAAAAACATAGCTGAACTCTTATACATGCAGTGAAGAAAATAGGCAGGACTGTGAGATATGGTCTCACCATACACCCCATCCCCAGCACACCAGCATACAATCAGGAGGGGACCCCTGACCCCGTGGTTCTCCTGAAGAGCAAAGGATCTGCACCCCATATCTAGTGCCCCAGCTTTTAAGACCCACCTGAGATGGGCTCCCAAACACCTCACTCTTAAGACCAACTGGGCTTATGGCCATAAAACCCACAATATAACATATGAAGAAAACAGTTCCAAACCAGCTCTGGACTCACCAAGTCCTGCTTTCCTTGAAACGGGTCTAGTTGAAGATAGTAAAAGTTGCTGCCCGAGAGTCCGCTTCTTTCTAATTTAGTTCACATCTAGGGTCCAAGTGCCATCCTCCCTAGAGACTAGAGAAGCCAAGATGCCCCCCCACCAGCTCCAAATCACCAGGATCTTCCAGAAAAAAAGCTTATATATACACACCTCTGCCCAGTGTTAGCAGCAGCCACTCAAGGGTCAGGTCCCCAGACTGCCTGCCTGACAGCCAAGAGGGATTACACTCACAAGTCCCATGAGACTGTAGCAAACAAAGCAGTTACCAGGCGTAAAACCACACACCCACAGCTATACAACCAGGCCAAATGCAGAGGGAGCAGGCAAAAATATGTATCTCCCAGTTTGTCCCAGGAGTTCTACAGAAGTCCAACCTTCTGTGCAGGTGATACATTCCAAGAACCTCGGTGAATGCCTGAAACCACAGATAGTACCAAACATTATATGTTTTTTTTCTATACATATCAAGGATAAGGTTTTATCTACAAATTAGGCACAATAAGAGATTAACAATGATTAATAATAAAGTAGAACAATTATAACACTATACTGTAACAAAAGTTATGTAAATGTCTTCAGGGCATTAAGTAAAATAAGGGTGACTTAAACACATGCACAGTGCTACCTGGGCGGTCTTTTTAATAACTGAGATGGCTACTAAGTGACTGATGGGCAGGTAGCACATGCAGCAAGGTGACACTGGACAAAGGGAGGAATCACATCCCAGGTAGAATGGTGTGAGATTTCAACACACTAATCAGAACAAAGTGCAATTTAAAACTTACGAATTATTTCTAGAATTTCCCATCTTACTGTTTTCAAACCATGGGTAACAATCTGCCGAAAGGGACACACTGGATAAAGGGAACTACTGTACACCTTCCCAGGCACTGTCAGTCTGGCTTCCAATCAGACCGTACCTAGGTGCTGACTGATCGTCCCCATTGGAGCACCAACAGTCTAGACACAACCTCAACTACTGGGCAGCACCAGGAACAAAGAAGGCATGGACAACTGCAAAAGTTTGAAAGGCAACCACTATCTTATAGAACTTAAGGGCCAGACAAGTATCACTGGCACTAACAATTCAGCCCAGCTTGTATTCGTAAAGGAAAATGTTCGGCTCTAGGATTTTCCTGGAAGAATTGACCAGATGAATCCTTCCTGTATTAAGAGTTGGGTGGTCAGCAGTTAGCACTGAGTCTCATGTCCCGGGAAATGCCCTGTCGGGACTGACCAGCAGATCCTGAGTGACAAAGAAATGATTATTTCTTGACATGTTTTTGTGAAAGAGGGGGCTAAGGGAATCAGATAGCCTCGTTCGCCTGCCTCCTTAGGCTTTTATTGTAGCAATAGTTTGAATTAAAATTAATCTTAGATGTTAGTAGGGTATTTTTGAGAAAATATATGTATTTGTAGTGTCTTTAATAAAACAAGGATGTTTTGTGCTCGCTTCGGTAGCACATACACTAAAATTGGGGTAGCGCATACACTAAAATTGGAACAATAGAGATTAGCATGGCCCCTGCGCAAGGATGACACCCAAATTCGTGAAGCGTTCCATATTTTTCAACATTTACAGACAGCTTATACAACTTAATAAAAGGAAGATAAATGATCCAATTAAAAAATGGGCAATAGACCTAAATAGAATATTTTAAAAAGACGACAGCAGGCAGGCCAAGAGGCACATGAAAACATGCTCAAAGTCACTAATTATCCAAGAGATGCAAATCAAAACAACAATGCGGTACCATCTCACACCTGTCAGAATGGCTATCATCAAATCAGCAAACGACAAGTGCTGGCGAGGATGCGGAGAAAAAGGAACCCTTGTGCACTGCTGGTGGGAATGCAGACTGGTGCAACCACTGTGGAGAACAGTATGGAGTTTCCTCAAAAAACTGAAAATGGAACTCCCATTTGACCCCGTAATCCCACTCCTAGGAATATATCCTAAGAAACTAGAAATATCAATCAGAAAGGATATATGCACCCCTATGTTCATAGCAGCACAATCTACAATAGCTAGGATTTGGAAACAGCCTACGTGCCCCTCAGCAGATGATTGTATCAAAAAACTATGGTACATCTACACAATGGAACACTATGCTGCCATAAAAAAGGAATTCTTATCATTTGCAGCGACCTGGATGGAATTGGAGATTATGCTGAGTGAAATAAGCTAGTCAATGAAAGAAAAACACCACATGATCTCACTCATTTATGGATAATAAGGAACATTATAAACTGATGAACAAAAAGATAGATACAGAGACAGTAAAAGAAACAGACTGTCAAATTATTGCAGGGAGGGTAGCGAGATATTGGGGAGATAAGAGATCAACCGAAGGACCTGTATGCATGCATATGAGCATAACCAACGGAGGAAAAACTATGGGGAGGGAGGGCATGTTTGGGAGTGGGGGTGGGGTGGGGATTGGTAAGGAATGTACACATGTAATACCTTAGTAAAAAAAAATAAAACAAGGATGTTTTGAAGCATAAAGATTTCAATAAAACACCCAGGGGCTTGGACTTATTTGGAAAGTCAAGGCAGGGTCTGCTGCCTTTGGCAAGAATCCCCTAGAGGCCTCCAACCTTTCAGAGAACCCTCCTTACTGACTTTTCAACCAGGCAAGCTGGGATGGTTTTTCATCCTCAGAGCACTCCTGGATGCGCTTTAGGTGACGATAATGGCAGTGTCATTAAAGAACTTTCCAGACGCTCCCACAGCAAGCTGCTGGACTGAGAGCTGCAGGAGTACGAAGATGAAGAAACAGGGGCAGCAGCAAATGGGTCTCCTCTTACCTGTGTGGAAGCTATGCTGGTGCTGCGTTTGAGTGCACTTACCTTGATTTGGGTGAAGTTTCTAAAGGATATCCTGCAGAGGAGCAGCTAGTGGCCGAGCCATCCTAGGTCCTGGGATGTCTTCTATGAGAGCAGCTCCAGCACAGCCCAGAATAGAGGCAGTGCCGGTCTCAACACCTGGGTCATGGCTACACAACTGGACGGTCACAAGACCTTGGTCAAAGTCTCTAACCTCTGTGCACCACGTTCCCTAATCTGTAAAATGTGGACACTTCATATGGCTGATATGAGCATTGAGTTAACATAGGTACAGGTTTACAGCGTACCTGGCACACAGTAATGCCAGTAAATGTTATCTTCTCTTCTTACCATCTCAGGGTTTGGGTTCATTCTCAAGACAAAGATGTCAGAGCAAAGCCCAGTGCACAATACGATTTCTGGAGCTAGAATGGAAAACCTGTGTCTTTATTTTCAGGTACAAAGCAAAAGGATAGTGCTGGGGAGGAAGGCCTCTAGTTTGACAGGTAGTAACCCAACTCTGGAGAGCAGGAAAGACAGAAGAAACTTCCAAAATGCAAGATTAGAATTTGACCAATAAGTTTTCAAAGAAATAAAATCTAACACAAAAACAGGGAAAAACCCCTTAACAGCTCATTCTAGTGTAATGAAAGGCCTAAGAATTAGAAATTCTGAAAAGGAATTTCCTGACTAGATTATTTTTGGTTTATACACTAGAGTACCAAATAAAATGAAGGGGAAAAAAAGAAGAAAAAAAAACCACCACGCTGGATTATGCAAACAATTTTTATTGAGAATTCTGTTTATTACAGAGAACATAGGCCTTTTATTGTGTTACATGAGAAAGAAGCTGGGCAACACATGTGTTTACCAAAAGTCATCTGGTTCTTCGTGAGACAGGCCTGGGAAACTAAATTAGGGAAAGACAAAAATTTGTTAAATTGTCAGTTCATTCGGGGACCTTTCTAATGTTCCTATTCCTTCCCTGTGGGGTTTCTGCCCTCACTTAGTTTGTATCATTAGCAATATCACAACTTCAAAATACAACAGTTTTGTTCTGAAGTTAGTAATTTGATTAGCTCAATAATTTCTAAGAGGCAGACTACATCTGAATGGTGCCCTTGGCTGACAAAGCCAGAATCTGGCTGATAATGGTTTGGGTAAGAACACTATGGTAAGGAAAGCATACCTTTCATCTTTGTCACTAGAGGGCAGCATGTCCACTGGTGAACTTTCTCCAACACTCTTTGTTGAGCTCTGATAAAGAGGGGGAAGAATAATTTTGAAATTAGGTATGTATTAATGTATTAATTTTATTAAACACTTCTGATATCTCTGTAAGAACTTTCTGAAATATAATTTAAGGGTTCAAAAGGTGACTTTTAGACATAAAATTTAGCAAGCTCAAACTATCCCATTTACATTCTCAATAGCCATAGTATTCCAGACTTATCTTAGTACCAATGTATTCGTTATTCACTGATAGCAGTTTCATTAATTTCATTCTTGTTCTGAAAATAATGAGACATCTCAACCTTTACAAAGCTGGACAAACCAAGATCTGTTCAATCTTTTACCCAAGCAAAAGCGATAAAATTTTGTCCAGAATAAAATGCCCATAAGAGACTCGAGGCTACTTTTGAACTTTGGATTTTCTCTGCCTTATGCCTTTTTAAAAAAATATATATATATTATTTAATTTTTTTACAGAGAGGGAGATAGAGAGCTAGAAACGTCGATGAGAAACATCGACCAGCTGCCTCTTGCACACCCCCTACCGGGGATGTGGCCGCAACCAACATACATGCCCTTGACCGGAATCGAACCTGGGACCTTTCAGTCAGCAGACCGAAGCTCTACCGCTGAGCCAAACCAGTTTCGGCTGCCTTATGCCTTTTTCTCTCCAATAGCCAGTTAACTGCCACACGTCCAAAACGGAAATCATCCCCAAACACCATGACATTTTGAATTTAAGAAGTAAATTTGCAATGAATACTATAAAATAAATATATTATAATTCAGGTGTTCTTGAATATTTTCAGCTGAAAATTCTCACAAAACAATGATTTTAAAGTTGGCCAAGCTGTCTATCACTTAGGGAAAACATTTATCTTTTACAGATGTGCATGGCATGTGGGGAAGGTTCACCGCTTATGTCTACAGACGCTTATGGGCGTACAATGGGATAGAGAAGGCAGTCTCTAATCCCAAAGTTTTCTAACAAACCACAGAAGCCCTCGCGCCCCCACCCACAGACCTCCGGTTTACAGCATCAGTACCTTATTATCCACCTTCTTCGGGTCTTGGTCCTCCTGGATGATTTTCATGTATTTCTCTAAAGCGTTTTCACCACAAGCAGATTTGTCTTTTATTTCTTCTTCACTCTCTTCTAATTCTTTATCCATTTCAGCCATCAAAGACTCTTCAATTAGCTTCTGTCAAATTTTGGGCAACAAAATAGGAAATACACTCAAACATTTTAAAAACACTTAATACTATAACTCTGATCTTTTACATAAAATGTACACGCCAGAAAACCATTTCCATTTTTTTTTCATTGAAATCATTGTTAGCATCAAAGGGGGACAGGAAATCATATAATGAAGGATGGGATTACTTTGCCTAAAGGGTCTTGTGCTCTAGACCAGTGGTAGGCAAACTCATTAGTCAACAGAGCCAAACATCATCAGTACGATGATTGAAATTTCTTTTGAGAGCCAAATTTTTTAAACTTAAACTTCTTGTAACGCTGCTTCTTCAAAATAGGCTCGCCCATGCTGTGGTATTTTGTGGAAGAGCCACACTCAAGAGGCCAAAGAGCCGCAGTTTGCCAACCATGGCTCTAGACTAGGGGTGTCGAACTCAATCAGAGAAGGGGCCAAAATCTAAAATCCAGCCTAAATTGTGGGCCGAATGGTTTACTGAACAGTCATAAACTGTCATTGTGATGGAAACGCAGCGGAGTGCAGTGATGACAGCGCGGTGCGGGCCACATTGCAAGGCCTGGCGGGACGGATTTGGCCCGCGGGCCTTGTGTTTGACACATGTGCTCTAGACCTAATGAACCAGGAGTTGAAGGAACATGATACGGGAGATTAATCCATGTAAGGTCCAGCAGGCGTGCGAAGTGGCAGAGTAGGGACAGAATCCGGACACAGAAGAGCAAAGACAATCAGGAGGGAGGAGGGCAGGCAGCCTGAAGAAGCCACCTTCCAAGTTTCCTCTGGTCCCAGCCAGCTGACCTGGAAACCCCCTTACAAGGAAAGACCTACAGCAAAGCAGAGTCCACCCCCTGTCCAGGTGTTTTCAGGACCAGTTGAGAATATGCATGCACACAGGCTTGCAAAGCTCCCCTTCTCAGTGCGCTTAAGCACAGAAGAGGATCAGGATGCCTGCAGCAGGCTTTTTGAAAGTTACCTACTGCTATGTCTTTAGGGGACACTAAGGACTCACACTAAGATGTACCATGCAAAAACTAACATGGAGAACTGAACTCTAGTTATTACCCTTCCTTGTTCCAGTTTTTCTAGTTCTCTTCGTTCCTTTTCCAAAGCTTTCTGTTCTCTCTGCCTTTTTTCTTCTTTCAGCTTTTCTTCTTTCAGCAGGTTCCATATTCTTTCTTCTTCACTCTGTTTTCCAACTTCTTTCTCATCTGCGCCTACAGGGACAGAAAATAAAGAACACGTAGCTTCCAGCATCCGTTTTTCCAACAAATGCAGGAATGATGTGCAGGTGCACCTG